TTCACTGCTTGCTCTCTGGCAGTTTTCTGCAGTCTTTCTTCTTCCATTCTTATCTTTCCATCTTTGCATTCTGACACGTTCTTGTTCTCTTTCTTCTCTCACAGTTCTAAACTTTCCTTCCTTACCCAGCACTGCTGCTCTAAACTCCACTTCCCTCATTTCTTTAAAACTGTGCCGCTTGCTACATTGTTTATGCTTAGATATTGGCCAAAACTGCTAAAATTGAATGCATCTTCTGCTCAGTCTTACTTTCATCATTTATTTGAACTTTTCTTTAATTTTGTTTGTTTGCTTGTTTGTTTGTTATTATACCTGATAAGGGACGCGGGTGGCACTGTGGTCTATTGGTTTTCCTGTACGCCACTTTGAGATATCTTTAATTAAGCGGTATACAAATGGTCACCCTGCCAACCTAGCAGTTTGAAAGCATGTCAAGTGCAAATAGATAAATAGGTACTGCTCCGGTGGGAAGGTAAACAGCATTTCCATGCGCTGCTCGGGTTCGCCAGAAGTGGCTTAGTCATGCTGGCCACATGACCTGGAAGCTGTATGCCGGCTCCCTTGGCCTATAGAGCGAGATGAGTGCGCAACCCCAGAGTCATCCGTGACTGGACCTAATGGCCAGGGGTACCTTTGCCTTTACGGGCCTATTAGGTGCATAAATCATCATATAGCATATATGCAATACAAAAACAGCAACACTTTGTTGCTGACAAGGACAGCTGGACATATAAAGGGCCCCATTACCTTCAGTAGCTGGCCAGCTCCCTTGGCCAGTAAAGCAAGATGAGCGCCACAACCCCAGAGTTGTCCACGACTGGACCTAATAGTCAGGGGTCCCTTTACCTTTTTATTATACCTGATAGGAACATGTGTTGTTTGACTGGCTAAGTTGAACGTTTAAAATATGACTGAGAAATTAAAATATTTGCCCTTGATACCAAAAAGGTCAAATGGGACCTACAACAAAATAATACTGTGTGGTCTGGTGCTGTTGAGTTCTCCAGCCAACCAGCCAACCATGCTCTCTTCAAAATACTCCATTTGATTTCTCCTCCCACCCATCTTTCTGCCTCCACTGATAGTAGAGAAGTGGCAGCGGCGGCTTCTGGTGAGATCTCATGGGAGCTCAGCAAGATGGTGAGATCTTGCTGGAACCCACTGTCATTAGTGCTGCTTCAAAGGCACCACCACACAAGCCAAATCAGGAATGCTTTGGTGGGGAAAGGCTGGGGCAGCAGCTCCCCATTGGTCCTCGGGTGGCAAAATGGGACATACCGCCCCTGGGTCAAAGGGTGACATTGAATCACTTTGCATACTTCTTATTATTTTACTATATTATTTTATATGATTTGGTTTGTTGTTTAATGTTTTGGTTCAAATGCGTAAAAATTAAAAGGGGCAGAATTTGAAAAGGTGGGACCACTAACGACATTGGGATTGAAGGACTGAAGATAATGTTTGTTTATGGAAAATGGCTCTATTGGGTGTTATATTGGAGTGGATGAAGCAAGTATTGGTTATATATATATATATATATATATATATATATATATATATATATGAATGACAGATGAAGAATCAGAAGTACCTTACTTTCTGAATTTTCTCTCTCTCTCCCTCCCACTCTCTTAACCTCTTTTCTGTTTCTATTTTTCTATTTTTCTATTTCTCAATTTCTTTTTCTTTATTCCTTTCCTTCCCCATTTCTCTTTATGTTTTTATTGTATTATGATCAAAGTCTTGATTTGGACGACAACAAAAAGAGGAAAAGGTATCTGATGTTAAGTTTTGTATTTCCCCCCTATAAACCCTAATAAAGTTTATTTTTAAAAAATGAAACAGTGGGACCAATAAAGTTTCTCTCCTTTCTTATTAAAAATCCTTCCACACATCCCTCGCATTACTCTGCCCTTTCTGACAGCACCTATGTTCGTTGGTCACACTCTCCATGGTAGATGCTTGTAATGGGATATGGGATTAAAATAATGATGTCAATCAATCACTGTTTCCCCCACAAGCTCATAATTAAGTAACTTTACCCTGGATTTGTCCACTTGAAATGGCACCAAATCTCCCACAGCTTACATAAAGAGGCGGAAAAAGAAAGCCATCGGTGTTGACAGCAGCCCCAAAAGGCCATTGAAGTGCAAATCAGCAAAAACCCAGAAAAGGTAAATAAGATGCAAGCCACTAATTGCAGCTTGTTTGCACTAATGAAATCAAAGAGGTTCTGTTGGATTAGGAATAATTATCCAGGTAAGCACAGGAGAGGCAGAAACACAACTTTGAAAAAGAGGTCATCAAAGAAATTTGATCTACCTGCAATCAAAGGATCTTGGAGGCATTGTTGTTGTTGTCTTGATGTGAGAGAAGGAGGGAGGCATGGCAGGAAAGGTGATATACTTGTCTAACCTTTATTGAGAAGAGCTAACAAACTGGTAGCTTGAAGCAGGTCTCCCTTTGATTAAAACGACTGTTTATTTTCACATCAAAGTGTCCAGTCCTCAAGAATCATGACAGAGCAGACATTTGCGGGTCTTGAGGACCTTTCAGGACTGACTAATTTATTGTGGAATAACCTTTCATGGGCTAGAGTCCATTTCATCAAATGCATGATGTTCTAACTTTCTGGTACAATATATTTACACATTAGGTAAAGGTAAAGGTACCCCTGCCCATACGGGCCAGTCGTGTCCGACTCTAGGGTTGTGCGCTCATCTCACTTAAGAGGCCAGGAGCCAGTGCTGTCTGCAGACACTTCCGGGTCACGTGGCCAGCGTGACGAAGCTGCTCTGGCGAGCCGGCACCAGTGCAGCACATGGAAACGCCGTTTACCTTCCCGCTATAAAGCGGTACCTATTTATCTACTTGCACTTAGGGGTGCTTTCGAACTGCTAGGTGGGCAGGAGCTGGGACCGAAAGACGGGAGCTCACCCCGCTGCGGGGATTCGAACCGCCGACCATACGATCGACAAGTCCTAGGCACTGAGGTTTTACTCACAGCGCCACCCGCGTCCCATATTTACACATTAGGTGGGGAAATTATAAACACTGTTGTGAAGTTGAAGGGAAACAAAATGCAGAAGGTGACACATATGTTATTAACAAGGCAGGTATTTGCTGTCAAGCTCTGTAAAATGTGGATTTAATGAATTTACAGTGAAATTCCACACATATCTACTCAGAAGAGCTATAGCACAGTGGTAGAGCATCTGCTAAGGGTTTTTTGGGGGGGTGGGGGTAGGAAGTGCAAGTGGTGGTTGTTGGCAGCCTGAACACCATTTTGCACCTCACAGGAATTCCTGGGCTGAGTGTCATTCCAGGGCATGGTGTGTGGAAAGTGGTAGGTGAATTCTGCAAAGTAGCCTTCTTTTTCGGGGGGAATAAAAAGAAAAATCTCAGAAATTTCCTCAGAAAAACATCTTCTGAGACGTTTTAATTCAGCTCTATTTGATACATCTTAACTTCTCTTCACCTCTGTGGTTTCCACTAGGCCCCACCACTAATTACTTCAAGCTGGCTTCCTCGTCACAACCTCCAATTTCAGACAATAGCAAAATATGTGACCTTCCATGCATCTCAAGGAAATATCTGAACGTGAATGTCCCTGAGGTACAATAAAGGGCCTTGGGCCATCTCTCAGGAATATGCATCACAGCAAATAGCGAGATGATGTGTGAACATTGGCTCCAGCAATTGCCAAGCTGTCAATGAATATTTCTGGTCAGGTTGCTAAAACCACAGAGAGGGCGACGTCTTTGCGGGGAAGATGCCTGGCACATTCTCTCTCTATTTGTTTTGTTATGCACAGGTCAGATGAGCAGGTCTGAAACCATAGAAGAGAGTTATTCAATCAACATTTCCCCTCAGTTTCTTCTGTGAAAACAGTTGGTTTAACTGAGGGGAGCTGACCTTTTCTGTTTACATTCCACAGATTGTTGTAACACTTGCTCAAATCTATCCTCTATGGTGGGGAGGCAAGCATTTTGAGACAATCAACTAATGTGAATCCAAAAAGGGCTGGAGCTGAAACAATGGGACTGCTAGGATAGCGGTTCAGCAGACAGAGAAAAATGTTTCACCTTCTCTAATAACACCAGAACTTGAAATTGTAAACTAGAACCCATAGACAGTAGGTTAGGACCAGACAAAAAAAACCTGCTACTTTACAGAACTCCTAATTAACTTTAATGATTTGTTTCCAGAACAAGTGGTGATGGATATCGATTTAAGCAGCTTTCAAAGGGGATTCGACCAATTCTTTGGCTATGTAAACCTGGCAATATTAGCCAGAGATCTAACAGGAAGTACTAAAGGTAAAGGGTAAAGGGAGCCCTGACAGTTAAGTCCAGTCGTGAACGACTCTGGGGTTTGCGGTGCTGTGAAAAACCCAAGGGCTGTATCCAGATTGGGCTGTATCCTGAAACATTTGGATGGCAAATCATCAGATGAAGATGGCCACAGTTGGCTGGCTTTCTCCAGTGAGTTGGATTCCTCATCCAAGCCAGGATGAATCCATCAAGGATGGGGCAAGTGAAATATCAGGACAAAGTATTGAAAATGATGAAAAAGGAAGAGATGGAATTACTGAGAAATGGAATCCCATCTCAGAACAGAGAACAAAAAACACAGATTGGCATAAAATGTGTGTGTGTGTGCACACGCACAAAAATAAATTTAGACATTTATTAATATACAAGTGGTGGGCATTTTGTGTGTGTTTGATTGGTGTGCAACTGCCATTACGTGTGCTATTTTCGGCCCCGGAAGGGGGCAGAGTGGCCTTATGTGCCCTCCACCAACACGTGCAATGACCAAGAAGAAGAAGAAGAGAAGAAGAAGAAAAGGAGTTTGGATTTCATATCCCACTTTATCACTACCCTAAGGAGTCTCAAAGCAGCTAACAATCTCCTTTCCCTTCCTCACAACAAACACTCTGTGAGGTAAGTGAGGCTGAGAGAAGTGTAACTAGCCCAAGGTCACCCAGCAGCTGCATGTGGAGCAGCAGGGAATCAAACCCAGTTCACCAGATTATGAGTCCACTGCTCTTAACCACTACACCACCTGGCTCCCAAGAACACAACCCCCAGGCAAACAGGGAGTTGTCTGTAATTTACATAGAAATACAATACAGTGGAGAAGGCTGATGAGGTGAGCTGTGTGCCAAATCGGTCTGCTGTCTAGGTGCCAACTGCTGATAGGCAGCTTCAAGGCACCTGTTGCTCTCCCTTCTGATGGTTCTTTATTTTTAAACTGCAATTGGACTGGGCAGCTTTTTACAAAGAGGACTCCTTCACATAGAAGGGTGTGCTCTGACAGCCCCACAAATAGAAAGCTTTGGGAAGATAAGACATGTGGCTATTATTTAGGTACCTTTCCAAAGCAAAGGACCTTCACTGCCTTACGAAGGACCTTCACTGGTTCTGATCTGAAGGAGAGGTAGAGCTCTCAGTAGCATCAAACGCTGCATCTCAACAATAGAGAGAGAAGAAAATCATGCTAGATGTATCCCTAAGCTCTCCAACTACCCTTAAAACAACCTGGGAGGCAGATATTGGTATAGAGGTGTCAATTAAGAGCTGGAACAAAATTTGGAAGCCAAGGTTGTTTTGCTCCAGATCAAGAGAAGTAATAGTACTGCTCTGTTCTGCCTTGGGCAGGATTTCGCCATCAGCGGGATCACAATCTAAACATTGCTCTGTGGTCCTAGAATTTATGTAGTTTCACTTGATTGAGATCAAGCCAACCTAGGACTGCCCTAGAGCCTATTTAATGATGCTTGTAGCTGTTAAAAACACAGGAAAATAGTAGCTAATTGGAAAAATTCATACCAGGTTTGGGCAGGGCAGATGGGTTAATTCTTGACCACTCACTCACTGTTCAATCTTTGCGTTGCTGCTTATTTCCCTGAAACTGTCAGCACGCTGGACAAACTCTGGAAGGGAGAAAATATAGTTACGGCCAGATCCAGTACCAGTTTCAAATTTTGGAGGACCCTCCTATTTACCATTCAGTGGGGACCCTCCTATCTACCATTGTTGCTACTCCCCAGTCATGCTCTTCAACTTTTTCAAGCCCCAAACTGGGACGTGCAGATTCTGGGATGCACTCCTAGGTAAGTCATATGACCTATGCCGACCCCGTCCTGGAAAAAAATGCAGAACCCAAAATGGCTGCCAAGATCTTGCAAAAGAAAAACAGGAGGTCCCATTTTCTTTCAGGGCACTTGGGAAGTAATGTTGGGATACTGCCAGGAAGACAAAGTCCATCATGACTCCCAAGCCGTGTCCGGACGTCCATCGATCTCCCGTAGACACGCAGTATCAGCAATTAGCGACATGAGCTCCAGAAATAGCCTGCCACATTCTAGAGCCGATGCACTATCAGCAGATAATTCACAGCGAAAGATGCACGCAGGAGAGCATATTTACAAGTTTATTCAGCGTTGGTCAGAACAAAGAAAAAAAATGACTGCCAGCTTCAGTGTCTCTGGCACAGAGATAAACGAAAGCAATAGAAAACATAAACTTCCTGTGAACAGGAAATATGCAGACTCTGTGACTCACAAAGCCTGCTCCCTTTTAAGGTGGAACGGAAATATCCTAACAAGTAATGCCCATTCATCACTCCCCTCCCCATCTCTGGGCCAAATTGTTACCATCTGCCAGAAAGAGGGATAACAAGGGGTTCAGAGGCTACGCATTCATCTCAAGCATGGGGCCAGTGGGTAACTGGGCGCCCTATTTTATGATGTGTTTTATTGTGCATTGTTTATTTGTGGGTGGCTTTAAAGGAGGACATGAAAGTTAATTGATGCTGCTAGCCATAATGGCTATGTGCCATCCCCAGTCGGAGACAGTATGCCTGTGAATCCCAGTTCCTGGGAACATGTGGGGAGAGCTCTGTTGTGCTCAGATCCTGCTTGCAAACTTCCCACAGTCATCTGGGTGGCCACTGTGAGAACAGGACTTTGGAGCACATGGGGCCGTTGGCCCGATTCAGCAGGTCTCTTCTTGCATTCTTATTTTATGATTTGGTTTTGCTGTTTTACGTTCTGTGCTCCACCCCCCTGGTATCTGTCTAGATCAGCCCATATTTTCTCCCCACCCTCAAGCAATTTATTGTGGCTCCCAAACCATTTGATTTAAATAATAATCGTTTAAAGGTGGCCCAGCGAGTGGTGCTGTTGAGCCCCACTACTGCACCGCTGAGAGTAGTGAGGTCTCAACCTTTCTACTGATTGGCGGTGGGATAAGGGAACTGCCACCTCTTTGTTTAAATGGCCCTTTCTCCCACCACCATTCTTAGAAAGATGACTCCATTCTTAGAATGTTGCCGAGAAACTTAGGAAACAAGAAGTGTTTCTTTCTGTTTCCTCTGCTTGACCTTCTAAGAATGGCGTGACATCAGAAGGAGAAGGGGTCCCTCTTAAAGTGAAAAGCGCCTTTGTTTTGTCTCCCCGGGGGAGCTGCTCTCCTAGGGCAAGAGGGACCCTCTGACATCAGTCTTTAAAAGCATAAACATTATTCTCTCTCTCTCTCTCTCTCTCTCTCTCTCTCTCCCCCCCCCCCCGTGTGTGTGTGTGTGTGTGTATATACACTGCTGAGGCTATAGCTCCCTCTGCTGTGTATGTGTGTGTACATGCAGATGTGTGCATGAGTGCGTGTGCTGGCTTGCAGCCCTTGGGCAGGTGGCAAACCCTCAATGTGGCCCTCAGCCAAAAAAAGTTACGGACCCTCGGCATAGATGAATGGTGGGTTATAAATATGATTAATACATGCATCTAACAACAACATTTGTTTTGGCTCTGAAATCTGAATGCTGCCATGTTCAGTTTAATGTAGAACTCCATGCAAAAAGTTCAAATTATGACATGAAAGCATGATTCCAAAATTTAGAGTTGCACTCATAGCTTCAGATACAGATGTAGAACTTTGCTTCATAATTCATTCATATTCTCCATGATAAATAATCCATGTGACACAAACCCTGCACTTTTACACCAATAGATTTCTATTAGGAAATCACCACTTTAAAATCTCTCTCTCCTGCTTAGCAAGGCTGACATTCCCTGCCAGTTACTTTCTTGGCTTCAGAGACAATATAATGAGTAAATGGCTCCCTCTGGTGGCAGGAAGCAATCTGCTTTCTGTTGTAGATAGAACATAATTTCCTGGGCTAGTAAGATGTTTTATTAAAATACAACCTAATTCTGCAGTGATGGAGATGAGGAGAATTTCAGTTTACATTTAAAGCCAAGCTTACCTAATCTGTACCTTCCGAAACAATACGTGAACCAAAGTACAGTCATCCTTCGAAATTCAGACTTCTCTGAATTTTGCAGTTTGGTTTCTCCTGCCAAGTAATGTGTTCACAAATGCATATACTGGGGTAAAGTATGCATAAAATGCAGGTATTGGTGAACATCACATTCAGAAATGCATTATATCAGAGAAAACTGCATACAAAATGTGAGCCAATGGTAGTACAGTGGTTAGAGTGTCGGATGAGAACCTGAGAGGCCAGGGTTCAAATCGTCACTTGGCCATGCAGTTGGGTGACCCTGGACCAGTCACTCACTCTCAGCCTGACCTACCTCACAGGGTTGTTGTGAATATAGAATGGAGAGAAGAGGACCATGTATGCCACCTTGAGCTACTTGGAGGTAAAGATGGGATATAAATGTAAGAAAATAACAAACAAACAAATAATAGGGGAACTCTAAGAAATCCCTCACGAACTGATGTGGAAGAATTGGAGAACCAAAACTCAAGAAAAGAAAAATGGAAAGAAAACAATACGTTAACCAAAATCAGCCATCCTTTGAAATTTGCACTTATCTGAAATTTACCATGCAGTTCTTCAGCCAAGCAATATACATATAGTGCACAAAAACACAAATAAAATGCATACATTAATTAAAAGAGCAAGAAAATATTCATTAGATTTGAGGAAATGGCGTTGTTTATGATAGGCAAAATTGCATTAAAAAATGTGTCTATTAGAAGAAATTCGCCCTAAAATGCTGCTGAATGACTGGTTGTTGTTTTTTAAATTTTACATGCAGGAGAACTGCAGTGGCCCTAATCTAAAAAGACAAAATGTGTTTAGCAGAGTATAACTGTGCAAAGAAGCTAACTGCATCATGATGGATTCAAGTTTAAATTCAGAGCCCCACAGAACTTTAATTACTTGAGCACAGATCTAAACTGAGAATTGCCCCAAAGGGTTAAGGTAAAGGTAAAGGTACCCCTGCCCATACGGGCCAGTCTTGACAGACTCTAGGGTTGTGCGCTCATCTCACTCTAGAGGCCGGGAGCCAGCGCTGTCCGCAGACACTTCTGGGTCATGTGGCCAGCGTGACGAAGCTGCTCTGGCAATCCGGCACCAGAGCAGCACCCGGAAACGCCGTTTACCTTCCCGCTATAAAGCGGTACCTATTTATCTACTTGCACTTAGGGGTGCTTTCGAACTGGTAGGTGGGCAGGAGCTGGGACCGAACGAAGGGAGCTCATCCCGCCGCGGGGATTCGAACCGCCGACCATGCGATCGGCAAGTCCTAGGCGCTGAGGTTTTACCCACAGCGCCACCCGCGTCCCGCCCCAAAGGGTTAGCAGCCTGCAAATTAAATAGGTCAATGCACTGGAAAAGATTGTCCACCCGAATTACCGACAAAACGCTTAATATTTAGGACTAACATATTATATTATATTATATTATATTATATTATATTATATTATATTATTCTATATTGTTGTGGTGTTGTTGTTTTTTGTTTAAATGCAATGTAAACAAGCTTGAGATAGATATCATAAGATATAGTATAAAACTGCCTTCAACAAATAAAGCTAACTTATTAGCTGCTGTTTGCAGCTGCACTCTGCTACCGGCTGTGCACTTTGCCACGATGTCCCGGAGAGAGTGATATTCCTCTTCGCTGCTAATGCTGCAGATGACAGCCTGAGCATGGTGGCACCTAGCTGCCCACTTGGCAAATACAAATTGCTAGATGCCCAATCTATCTCTGGAGTAGAGCTTGGGACCAATATGTACGCCTCCTTGAGAACCTTGG